CAGACAGTTTCTGTTAACGACTCAATTTACAGACAAATTATTTAAAGGGCGATGCTGCTGTTTTTATATGAACCACAAATCCTGTTCAATATAATAAAAATTGTTTTCCCTCCTTATCTGTCGAGTGATGTCTCTCTGAGAAGAATAAAGAAGTTTTAGGAAACCCTTTTTTTTTGTGTGTTGAAGCAGCGAGAGTTTTAATTGAAAGTCTAACAAACTGTAAGTGATAAATGATGTATGACTGAATATATAAACACCATTATTTGCTCTGCAGATCAAAGTGAAGCAGCATGTTACAACAAAACACTCACTCAGACTCTGAGCACTGAACTTTGTTCCATGTGAAATATTCTCTGTATTCTCTGAGGATTTTTTGTTTAAAGTGACAAAGACAAGATGTTCAGGGACCGACTGGTCTTTACTTGAATGAGAAAACATGCAGACTAAGAAAATGATTCACTAACAGGAAGAAGAAACCAGTCATTTAAGATTTGAAATCATTGCTGTTGTAATTTTGTGCACCAAAATGTCATATTTACACAAAGATATTTACATGTGTTTATGTGTGTACAAAAATTGTCACAAATTTTATATATATCTACACACACACACACACACACACACAGAGGCCACTTTATTAGGTACACTTGTTCAACTGCTCGTTAACAAAAATATCTGCTGAAGTTCAAACAGAGTATCAGAATGACGAAGAAAGGTGACTTTGAACATGGCATGGTTGTTGGTGCCAGACGGGCAGGTCTGATTATTTCAGAAACTGCCACGTGATTGGCTGATAATACAGCTGATGTTAACGAGCAGTTGAACAGGTGTACCTAATATAGTGGCTGGTGAGTGTATAAATATGTATGTATGTATGTGTATTAAGGAATATGGTCAGCAATGCGTTTTGTGAATATATATTTCATTTATACTGATAAACTCGTTAATTTGTGATATTTTAATAAAAGATTTGCACCTTCTTCATTTGCAGATTTCTTCCAGCTTTAAACAAACAATGTTAGAGGAAGAGCACTTACTGTGACAGATCTCAGTCCCGCCCACACTGTGTGATTGACAGGTGACATCACATCCTCTTGAGAAGACGTACAGACATTTGATTATAAGAGCACATCTTATGATGTAGAGTTGTAGTTTACATCAGACGAGAGCTGCATTAATTATTGTTTTTCTCACCGATTGATCAGCTGAGTCATCAGTTAATTAAAGCCTCACATGATCTGATCACTTTTTCCTGATCAATAAACATCAACAGCTGCTGTCTCCATCCGTCCTGTGAAATTATGGCTGAAAGAAACAGAAAACAGAAACAGTTCAGCAGGATTCAGAGGTTTGATCTGACTGCAGACGGTTACACAGGACAGTAAAGACGTCACAGAACATCCTGAAGGACACTGGCCGTCCTGCTCTCAGTTCTTCCATCAAAGAAACGTTCCCCCACCTGTCTCAGAAACAGCTTGTTTTGTATATTGTGTGTAATGTTTCTTTTTTTCTGTTGTCTGTTAATGTGTCCTCGTTGTGTCAGCATAGTTCCACAAAAACAAGAATTTCATTGTAATTTTTTAAACAACAATAAACTTTAAAGACAGTTACTTATTAATGTCCTGTTTAACTATCAACTCTATCATGTAGTTTTGCATTTGTCTATTTATTTACATAATTATTTTACCTTATTTATTTATGCTCTAATGTGTTTAATTTACACATTTATTTCTATCTATTTCCATATTACCATCATCAGTGTCCACATGAATATTAACATCACCTACATCAGTCTCTTCATCTGATTTAAAGACTAAACTTGAAAACACTTCTTTAAATTATCTGAGTTTCAGTGACCTAAAACTCTGTTTGTGTGGACGAGAAAATAAAACATAGATAAAAAAAATATCCTTATATAAAAATATCTGTGTTGATGGAGTTGCTTTCTGTCTGAGCAGTTTCATCTGTGTGAACTGAAGAGTTGGAACAATGACAGGAAGAATCAATGTGACCTCTGACTCTGAAACATTTCCTGTTTATTAGTTTTCCCAGCGACCAGCTCAGAAACAATCTGTCCATATCTAATCAAAGGAACTTTTTATATGTCGGTTTATTTTAATAGATTAAAGATTTCAGTTTATATGTCGACATTCAAAGCTGCTGATGTGTTTGTTGAACTTGTTTTTGTATTTACTTACAGGCTGAAATATTTAATCTATTTATTTTTTTATTTTATCAATGAGTATTTATCTTGTTAGTAAAAGGTTTTTCTTCAGTTCTCAGAACTCAGTAAAAGGAAACAGCTGTATGAATATTAAATGTAATAAAAATAAACTGTCTGATGAGTTTATTGATCATCAGCAGCAGGAAACTTAATGATTACTGATTATTAATTATGTTAGAGCAGAAACATTACAGATTCAAATCATTAGATTTAAAGCCTCAGTGACTCATTCTGAAAATTAAAGGGCCACACAAACTAAATTAATAACTGTAATATGTTATCAGTATCCGTGAACAGCGTTTCTCTCAAAGCCAGAAACCAGAGGAGTAAAGTTTGATTTATGTTTTTATAAATGTCAGTGACAGAAATTAAAGCTCCCATATTGTGAAAAGTCAGATTTCCTGTCTTTTCAAAAATAAAGCTGTGTAGATGATTTATAAATACTGTGAATGTATTAAAATGCTCAGTCCACAGTTCAGAAACTGCGCCACTAAATGAGCTGTCAGGATTTCTATAAGTTGTGATGTCACAACTACACTACTGTATAGACCCTTTAACTATTACTGAACAGTGTGATGTTTTTGGTGGGCGGGGCTTAGCTGAAGGCAAAACAACTCTCCACAGACATTAGCTAGCGCTAGCTAACAAGTTGTGTTGTCTTGTTTTAGACGATGGAGGAAGATGATGTGAGTGGTGCGTTCAGAAACACTCATTGTGAGTGTGGGAGCGCACTCTGACACAAACTGGAGCGTTGATAAATTGGGAGCGCTGTCTGAATGTAGCGTTGGGTTATCCAGAGCAGCGCACTCTCAGAGTGGCAGAGCGCACTCTGGACACTCTGTCTGTGGAGACGGAGCAGCAGAGCGCCGAGCGGAGTGAATGTGTGATTAACTTAACCGTTGGTTCATTCATGTAGAAATATAACGCTGCGTTTCTTCCACCAACAGGGCTCTCATTTTAGTGTAGAGCGTCAGACTGAATTTACCAACGCACCATGTCAGGTCACTCACTCTCCGGGACCGCCAGTGTTACTTGAATAAGTAAACACTGACCAACGGGACCAGACTGGCCGACCCGTATGCTCTCACTCAGTGGATGGATGATGTCACAGGAAGCCAATCTTACAAAGGAGGACCACACTTGTTTGTTTTGCTATGGAAGCTAACGTTAGCTAATGTGCTAAAAAGTTAGCGTTGCAGAGAAATCCAATCTTCCTCTTAATCCCTCCCCAGTTTCTGATGAGGTGGACATGATAACCCTTAATACACATAACCTTATTCATCCCTACAACAGGAAATACTTTTTCCCTAACCTGATATGAAGTGTGCGCTGCACATGTGAGCATTTTTGATGATGGCCTCCGTCCAGTCCTTTGGTCTTATCACATTTAACCATAGTTGTCTTTGTTTTTGTTGACGGGCAGTGGCGGCTGGTTTTGAGCCATGACTCCTTCTATTCTGGCTCCCAATAACACAACAAGACAAACACATTTTAACACTCCTGTGTAGCCTACAGCCCTGTGGGGGAGAGGCAGCTGCACCTCCAGCTGATAACATGATGTCATCGTGACGTCGGCCCTAAAATGGTCTATACAGACCATCTGAAACATAAACACTTTAAATGGGTCCTTTTGTATTTCTTGTTTAAAAGTTTTGCAGTGTATGTGCGCAACAGCAGCTGACAAGGAATCTTTTTTAAAAAAAGGATAGCAGGCTTGAAAATAAAAACTTTGCTCAAGTCCCCGCATGGACCAAGTCTGGAGCGTGGACTGGTAGCTGGAGAGGTGCCCGTACACCTCCTTGGCACTGTTGAGGTGCCCTTGTCTGAGACACCAAACCCCCAACTGCTCGGGGCACCCGTCCAAGGCAGCCCCCATACTCATCAGACGAGCTCCCAAAGCTCCAAATGTTTTTCCCTAAGCCTCGCTGAGTGACCGGCAGAAAATCCACTACCACCCTCCACCATAAATTCAAGACATTCTCACTGCGACCTCGTCACATGTCCACGTTTGGTCATGGACTTTCCACGTCCACATATGACGTCCAAGGTACCCTGGGTGTGTTGGTTGCTGACGTTCTGGGACGCCATGTCGACCTCAGCCTGTTACATGCATTGTCTGTTTTCAAAATACACTTCTGTTTTCACAGGAAATGTACAGTTTGCATACAGTCTCTTTCAAAATAAAAGCACTACGTTTTTTTTCCTCCAACAACACATGCACATGGTTGGGTTTAGGACAAAAGAACAGGGTTTCGCTTTACAGTCACACAGTAAGTGAACCGTCCTGAACACGATGTGTCCAAGGAACACTTGAAATTTGAAAATCCGGTGATAATTTCTGTGAGAAGTGGTGAAATTTGGTGATCTTTTTTTTTTTTAAAGGAAACTTCCCAACCTGAGTCTGCTGTAAAATAAATACAACATCCAGTCATTTAAAGTTGTATGCCCCTCCACTAACCCATAAAAACTTATTTGACCTGCCTTCCCTTGTTGCACCACCCCTTATAAATAACGAACAGCCCCTATCACTCCAGTTTTTGGATATGGGAGACAGTTGTTCATGTGTAATAAAATTGTTGGACTCTCTTAGTCCAATGATATGGATGGATTTTGAAAAATGGGCGTTGGTTCCTTTTAACTTGTTTTTATTAAAATTCTGATATTATTATTACCATTGTTGCTTGTTCCCGCTGTGCTGTGGGTGAGAGCGGGTCTGAGATCAGGTCTTGGTCTCCGGTGTGAGGCGGAGCCAGCAGCATTGATCGGGTCTGGGTGTTGAGATCAGATCTCAGTGTGTTCAGACTTCATCACAGTTCACATCAGACCTCCACCTCATCATCATGAAGTCCTTCATCTTCCTTCTGTCTCTGGTTCCGGTTCTGCTCTCGGTCCGGGTCTCAGCGGGTCCGAGCTGCGGACCGTGTGACCCGGCTCAGTGCGCTCCGGTCCCGGTGGACGGCTGTGCTGCCGGCTCTCTGCTGGACGCCTGCGGCTGCTGCACCGTGTGCGCCTCCGCGGAGGGAGAGGTGTGCGGTGGGCGCCGCGCGGCAGCGCGCCGCTGCGGCCCCGGGCTGGAGTGCGTCAAAAGCGACGAGGACAATAAGAAGAAGCTGGGAGTGTGCGTGTGTAAGAGCAACTATGAGGTCTGCGGCACCGACGGAGTCACGTACAAGAGCGGTTGCGCGCTGAAGAAAGCCAGTGCGAGCGCAGAGAAAGAAGGCAAAGAGCCCATCAGCGTCCAGAACAAGGGCCGCTGCGCCTCAGGTGAGAAAACACTGATCTTCATTTAATTTAAATTCAAACTCAGATGAACAAACATTGTTTTACTATCACTCAAAGAGTTCATGTTGCTCTCCAGGGGCGTAGCACCAAATTCTGGGCCCAGTAGTCTCTGTTGGCCCCCGCCCCTCCTCTCTGGATCATGGTTCTCTCACACATCTGTTGAATGTTTTTTTTCTTTGTACAAAGTGAGTTTGCTCTCTTTCTCCTCTCTACTCGTTCTTTCTTTTCTTTTTTGGAACTCTGAGTTTCCTTTCATGAGCGTGGGGCAGTGTCACAGCCTGTTCACCTGAAATCCTGAGTGCAGAGCAGTGTGTAGGCCTCAAGTATCGTCCGTGGGACAGATGTAAAGCTCACCTGATCAGCTTTTCCTCCATATTTATGACAGACTGATATCTATTAAAGAAGGGAAATATATCTACCAGCTGTGATTGGTTGTTCCTCGTCACATGACACGCGGTGCACCAACTCGGTCGCACTCCAAAGTCGTTGAAATCTGGCGATGAGGCAGTGACTTGCAGCGTCAGACACTGGTGAAAAAAGCCGTCCTTTAATGTCAGTGTGATACACAGTCGGTCACTGTTATGGTTTAACGGCGCTTGGCGGCATCAAGAACGAAGGTTAAGGCAGTGAAAGTCCAGGTATTTTGAAAGAGACTGTATCAAACTGTTCATTTCCTGTGAAAACAGAAGTGTATTTTGAAAACAGACAATGCATGTAACAGGCTGAAGTTGACACGGCGTCCCAGAACGTCAACAACCAACACACCCAGGGTACCTTGGACGTCATATGTGGACGTGGAAGGTCCATGACCAAACGTGGACATGTGACAAGGTCACAGTGGGAATGTGCTGGGTGCACGCTGCTGCATTTCAAAGGTTGAATTTTGTTTATCTCTGGGTGCAGCTGTCAGGCCCTGAAAAATAGGCGCTTGTGAACGCGCTGTGATGGCGTCGCTCTGGCATGTGAGCACATGCACCGTCCATGCATCTATATTAAAAACACTGAATTTGAGGGTGCAAAAAACGCCACATATGTTTGACCCCTTAATCATTTTGCGGCTTAAGGGGGCAGGAGGGGCCTTAAAAAAATTCTGCATTTATTTTTAAACAAAGTACAGTCTTTCAGTCGATTTATTCAGCCATTTTTTTTCCTTAAAGATGATCTTTTTTTTTGTTTGTTGCCTTTGTATATGGGATGCCTGCTCTGCCCGCTAAACCACCAAGCGCCCTGTATTAAGATCATTTTTATGTAGTTCTGGCACTGATTACTTAGAAATAAAGACAAAATCAAACTTTGCATTCCAGGCTTTTCAAGGGCCCCCCTCCAATCGGGGCCCTGGGCGATCAGTCCCACTTTCCCCCCACTGTGACGCCCCTGTTCCTCACTAATGTCACAATTTAACAAACATCTGTTGTTCCCTAAAAAACTAATAAAGCTTCAGTTGATTTTTTGCTCTGACTGACACAACAAACAAACATTTAACCTGATTTATATTGAAATAAATATTTAATGATGTTTGGTGCAAACATTTAAAACTGTAAATCACTCATGCAGAAAATAATTTATCTCACATTAATCTGCAGCATTAGTCAGAGGAATGAGTTGTTTCCTTCAGGACTCATTAAGTTGTGTCCCATATATTGGACGTGTATGTCTTTATGGTTGAAGTGAGCGTGTCGCAGCCTATAACCCTCTGACAGTAACAGACAGTGAGTGATGATAATCCACCTTCATCCCTCGGAAAACACTGAATTCCTTTCTACATGAAAACCCTCACTGAGCACGCTCAGAGCAAACTGAATTCCTCTGAGGTCACCGAGGATTTACTGTCTCTGATGGATTCCTGCGACCTGTTTCATCCTGTTTCAGACCGAAGTGGAAACTTCTCCATAACCAAACTTCATGATAATTATCTCCATATTACTGACTATCACGACCCATCTCTCCCTCTCTGTCTTCACTCTGATTCTCTGGAACCAAACTTCATGCTTCATGATTATCTCTCATTTTACTAAAAGGCTGAACTGGTTTGCTATTTTAGAAACAGGAACCGCTTCTCTCTGCTGCATTCTTGACTGTGCTTGATTATGTGCATGTAATGCACGCTCATTGCATGCTCTTGACTTTGTACCATGGTGCATTGAGATTTATTGCCAACTGTAAGCTCCTAACGCATCACTGTATCCTGTGTGCTCGGGTCAGGTGGCTCTGTCTCTTTTTCATCAGCATTCTCATGTTTACAGAGCTAGTCTCGGCCCACTTACAGCATATTTATGTGTGCATTGAGCAAAAAACTGAAAATGGCTGCTCTCCGTTCACAGAACGTGTTTTTATTGTCTGAACCGAGGGCACGTACAGAGTTTGGCAAGTGAGCATTTATGTCTGCAGCTCTTTGTTTGTGGAGTCTCCTGCAGAAGCATTTAAAGTTGCACTCACTGGTTCCTCTACATCAGGGGTCGGCAACCTTTACTATCAAAAAGATTCAGAGTCGATGACGGGGCGACGTACTCTCACTGTGTCAAACTCTTACAAGCTCTCATGTTGGGGGCGGCAGTAGCTCAGTCCACAGGGACCTGGGTTGGGAACAGGAGGGTCGCCCCGCACCAAACATGGAGCGCAGACTGGCAGCTACAGAGGTGTCAGTTTGCCTCCTGGACATCAACGCGGTGCCTCTGAACAAGGCACCAAAACCTTAAATGCTCGGGGCGCCTGTCCAAGGGACTCTGACATCTCTCCATTAATGCATGTAGAGGTCCTGTTTGTGCATGTGTGTGTGTGTTTCAGGCCTGTGTGTGTGTGTGTGTGTATGACAACAGAGTGAAAAAAGGAATTTCCCCTCAGGGATTAATAAAATATACAGTATGACAAAATAAAACATAATAAAAGAGCCATTTTTGGCCAAAAATAAGTCTGTCTGAGCCTCATCACAAAGGTGAGACAGCCTTTTAAGTTGAATTAAGCCTGTCAGCATTACCAACAGATCAAAATGAGCAATCATTAATATATTTTACAACAAAGTAGCTGTTCTGCTGCGGGCTGTTTCTGATTATTTGGTATTTTAACTTTGCAGCGTTGCCAATGAAAGCAAACAAATTTGTCTGTGCATTTTTAAATGCTCTATTTTTTCCTGAGACTTTTCCATTTTTGGATTTGGAATCCACAGTTAGCCGAGCAAGGAAGACTCAAAACAACTGTAGGCATTGCTTGTGACATTAAGTCAGTGTATAGGCTACATATTTTTATAGCTTTTTTTCCAAGATATTTCTTATTAAGGTTTCAAAAAGAAAAAACACCAGGGTTGGGCGGACACATTCCACAGCACCACACAGCACACATCAGTGAGCAGAACAAACAAAAGTAAAAATAACCCTGAGGTGATACCAGTGATACCCTCCCCTCCCTCCCATACTCCTGTCCTCAGTTTTTTCCTTCCTTTGATATTTCTAAGGCACAGTGTCCAGAGTTTAATATGCACAGTAACCTCCACTGAGCCAGATTTTACTTTTGTAACGCACTGAGAGCTGATGTTTGAGTGTTATGAAAATGAGACAAAAAAAAGGTCCCCAGGTCTTCAAAAAACTGTCTCTGAACCACTGGCAGAGAAGTGCAGCACCTCTAATTTTAGGCAGGACATTACGTCTCAAAGCCGCTGGCCAGATGTGGGCGGGACAACCTCCTTCCATTTGATGAGCAAAGCAAAAATCACCATATGTTGCTCTGCAGGTGTCAGATGGGGGTCTTCTCCCCCAGCAGTGCCAAACAAGGCTACAACAGGAGCTAGCTTTAATTTTTTAAAAGAGGATTTTAGACAGGGTATGAAAGATATCTCTCTAAAATGTTTGAGGGCACAGCCAGAACAAATGCATCAGGGTGGCATCATTGTTTTTGCATTTGACACAGGTGGAGGTGTGTCAGGGCAGGTGCTCGGTAGCTTAACCTTACAGTTGAAGAATGTAAAAATCTCCTCAGGCCGACAACAATGAATGAAAATTAAAATTTAAAAAAAACCTAACAATTAGTCGTTTCCATATAATTTTCTGTCAAAGCCTCAGGGAGCCACTGGCGAGGCGCTAAAGAGCCGCAGGTTGCCGACCCTGCTCTCAGCTGATTCAAAGCACTGCTGCAGGGTTTTTGAACACAATCATATATCTGCAGTCAGGGTTTATTTTAGCTGGTGTTTGTAATCATGTGGTTGCCTCTGTTTTAACAAGAAGAAGAAGATAAACTTTATGAATCCTTGAGGGGAAATTCAGTTGTTTCACTCTGTTGTCACACACACACAGGCCTGAAACACACACACAGGCCTGAAACACACACACACACACAAACGGGACCGATATATGTATTAAATGGAGAGATGTCAGAGTAAGGGGGCTGCCATGGACAGACGAGCAGTTTGGGGTGCAGTGCCTTGCTCAAGGGCACCTTGGCAGTGCCCAGAAGGCGACCTGGCACCTCTCCAGCTACCAGTTCATGCTGCATACTTGGTTCCGGACTGGGACTTGAACCGCAGCCCTCCAGTTCCCAAGCCAAGTTCCTGTAGACTGACTAGACTGTTTCTATGGTTCACTTTCAGCAAATACGAACACACTTTTTGGCTGCTCGTAGTAGTAATGTCATTTTGTGTTTCATATTGCTTGTTTTAGAGTTGTAGATGTTTATTCTATGTTGTCTGTGACTTTATGTTGCTGCCTGTCTCGGCCAGGACACTCTGGAAAAAGAGGTTTTTAAAATTAAGTGTTTTTTTCCTGGTTAGATAAAGGTTGAACGTATAACTTCACTAACCTCTCTCTGTCCTGTTTCAAACTGATTCTCTGTACCTGAACTTCATGTTAATTATCTCTGACTGACCTGTCTGTCTCTGACCCTGTCTCTCTGCAGCTCCAGTCATTGTCACCCCTCCAGGTGAGGTCTACAACGTGAGCGGCTCTCAGGTGTACCTGAGCTGCGAGGCGGTGGGTGTGCCCACACCTGTCCTGACCTGGAAGAAGGTGAGTTTCCCTGTCATCACTCAGGCACTCAGCTGCTCATCAGTTACAACATGTTCTTTGTCTGTCAGGTTCATCTTAAATGTAAATATATGTGTAAATATGATATTATGCTCAGGATGAGTTATAAAATGTGAAACATAAAGATGAGACCTGTCTGAGCTGCAGCGTCTCGTCTCTCCATCCGTCTTCCTGTCTCTGCTGATTTCCTGTTTCCTGCTGCTGTCTGGAGAAACAATAAGTCTTCCGAGCTCCACCTGAAAATGTACGACAGGAAATAAATCCAGAGTTTAACAGCTTCGTTTCTCACAAACTTTAAACTACAGAAACAGAACAATGGAGGGGAGGTTACACGTGTGAGTTTAATAAATCTGTCTCAGACTGTGTGACATCAGTTTGATGATGAATATGTGTTGAAAGATGGAAATATACATGCAGAAAAATAAACAGGCTTTGCTGGAGATCAGACGCCTCGGTATCTAAAACACAAAAGACTTTTTTTGTTCTTAGTTTCTCTCACGAACATCAGCGACTGTCTCACAATCAGTGTGGAGTCCTGAAGAAGATATATAGACATAAAACAGAGAGCAAATGTTTATGTCTCTGTTTGTAAAAGGATAATTTAGCTGACTTTTGATCAATAAATTAAAGTATAAGAATGTTGAGGACTTCAGAGGGTTAAACAGAGACAAACACTCCTCTCAATGAGCTCATATGTTCCCTGCAGCCTCAGGTGCTTCAGGTGTCAGTGTGTCTGTCAGCAGCGTGCTCCTCTCTGCAGGTTCAGACTCTTTTGTTTGTGGACTTTAAATTGAGCGTAATTTTCCTGCAGAGGGAGGAACAGGCTGCAGCACGTTTCTCAATCAAAAGAAAATGTTCCTCATGAGTTTTTGCAGATTCACCGACTGCACGCAACAAAATGTTTCATAAAGGCTGACTGAAAACAAACAACAGACAGATCTGTGTCTGTGTGAAGTGTCTGCTGATTTACTGACAGATCATCTGCAGATGATCAAGTTTGTGAAGTGACCTAAAACCTCAAATACACAACTATGTCGTGTGATGGCGAAATGTTTTGTACATCATCGTCATGAACCCTTACAGCTGCACTGATGCTGAAAGTTTCATCTAGACTGAAAACGTCTGAGCACACACAGGAGGTACACACTGTATACAGTCAGTAAACACTGTGTGCTGACTGAGAATACACAGACTCAGTGTGTGTGACTCTGTTTGATTATTATCAGCCTCCAGAAACAGAATTTTCGCCTATCTGTTTTTTTCTCGTGAAATAATTAAGAGTTTTCCGACCTGTCAGAATATTTATTGAAATGTGTTTTAATTACGTCAAAAGATTTACAACCTGTCAGAAGATGCTGCAGATATTTGATGATGTTGATGTCGTTAGTGATGAAGAAGGAGATGATGATGCTCGGGTGTCTTCCCTCAGGTCCTCAGCGGGAGGAAGAGGATGGAGCTTCTTCCTGGAGACAGAGACAACCTCGCAATTCAGACCAGAGGAGGACCAGAGAAACATGAAGTGACCGGCTGGGTGCTGGTTAGTCAAACATACACCATATAAACACTGTATACTATATATAGCCTACATTATGTGCACAGTATATACACATTATATATACAGTAGATTCCATCATATATGGAGGTGATAGTCACTATGGATAGGTGCATCCTGTCGACCTGCAGACATGCAGCAAACAAAGAAAAAGAAAGAGAGACTTAAGTTATTTTGGGTGACGTGGAGTCATATGTTAAAAAGCAAGAAGGTTCCTGGTTCGAAGACCAAGGTGTGGGAGCCCTTCTGTGTGGAGTTTGCATGTTCTCCCCGTGTCCCCGTGGGTTTCCTCCAGGTGCTCCAGCTTCCTCCCACAGTCCAAAGACATGCAGGTTAATTTTTGACTCTAGATTGTGAGCATGGATGGTTGTCTGTCTCTATGTGTCAGCCCTGTGATAGTCGCAAAAAATGCAAAAAAAAATCAAAACATACACACAAAAATCCACAACAGCTGCAGGTGGAAGGCTGCTTCCAGTCACAGCCGCAGTTGAGAACATTGCTTGCATCATCAGAGAATCCTCTGTGTCAGGAACTATTCCTGATGTAGATGGCAACATGCCTTGTTTGTAGAGTTCTCTTTCTGATTGAATCAAGTGGTAACAGGATGCCACAAATGTAGAAAACACATGTATTATGTGTAATATCTTATTTACACGAGCACTATGATCAGTCAGAAGCAGGTGTAGATTTTGTTAGCACCTACGGAAAGACTGGAGCCACTAACATGTTGATGAATGCCGAAACACATGTAAATATTCTTCTGTGAACTGTTTACACACAAATTCATTCTGCTCATGTTTGATGAATGAGACCCATTAAGTGACCCGCTGGGTGCTGGTTCATCATATATACAGTATATATACATTATATAAACAGGAACATAATGTGTGCACATTAATACACTACATATATTACATTAGTCCAAACAGACACAGATGTAAACTGCAGCTGGGCTTGTTGGTGGAAGCAGAAAACTGAGCTGATAATTATAGTTCTTATTATTATCAGATGTCATGTTCAGACTCAAACCAACATGTTCGTCTGTGTCTCAGTACTGTCGGACTTCCTGTCTGTCTCTCAGCTCTGAGCCTGTTGGTTCCTCCTGAAAACATAAATCTGTAAAAACACAAATCAGTATTTGGATCAGTAAATTCTTCTAACTGCTGCTCGCTGTGGTTTTATCAGACAAACAGGAGGAAACAGTCAATTTGTTGGGGACTATTTTCAGCGGCGAATGAATCCACATTTGGTGCTCTAGTGAGTATTTGTGTTAACAGGGTCGTGTGTAAGATACACTACTGTGTGTGTGTGTGTTCATGGTGATGAAGGAACAAGTCACAAAGTGACACAGTGTGGATCACAGATGTGTTTTTAACAACAAGAGAAAAGAAAAAGAGACATCAGGCTCTCAGGTGTACTCACCTGTTGCATCGTCACCGGCAGCTGAGAAAACAGCAACAACAAAAACTCACAAGTTCGCAAAAGTTTAAGTGAAAAAACAACAACATTATTTTGATGAATCAACGATGATCACAATGAACTGATCTGTTTTACATGACGGTGAAACTGAAAGTTGGATTTTATTAAAATCATCAAGGATTTAATGTGGAAAAGTAAACTCCATAAACAATGATGACCTGTAGAAGCAGGAGGTGATGCCAGCTGTCTGTTGGACCAATCAGCTTCACTGATGGTGTTTGTATTTCAGATCTCCCCTCTGACCAAAGAAGAAGAAGGATCGTACGAGTGTCACGCCACCAACTCTCAAGGAGAGGCTTCAGCTATCGGTACGATTCACCTGGTCGAGTCCCTCGATGACATCGTCAAGAAAGGTAATGACAACAACACAAACAAATGAAAACACAACACACATGAAGAGGATCTAAAAGATTAAAATATAAAACATTAAGAACATTTAAAAATAAATCAAGCAGACTTTTCAACACACTGATTCAGTTTCTGATGTGAAACATTTACATGAAATAAATATGATTTGATCTGCTTTAACTTTTTCAACTTCTAAACTTACCCTGTGCTGGAAAACGCTCTTTTCCCAGACAAGGATTCACAATTTCAAACGATTAAAAAGCCTTAAAAAAGACCTTTAAAAGACGAAGACGATTAATTTTTCATAGATGAAAGTATGCAGAACTAGTAACATTACTGATGTGGCCTCAGAGGACAGTGTACTGTCCAGGGTGACACACAGACTCTTAACCTGAGGGGATGGACGAACTTAGGAGTTGTCAATGGTCAGAGTGAACTGTGCCATTTAACCCAAGTAGATTTAGTACCCACAAGGAGAACCTCAGTTTTATCACTGTTAAGTTTGGGGCAGTTGTATAAGAGCTGTGGTGGCAAAACTGCTATTTAATGAACAGTTTAAAGAAAAAGTCTTCACACGTCGGCTGTCTTTCTTGAGTTTTAATAAGCATTCATGAATGGAGACACTCACACATACAACCGCACGAACAGTCAGTCAGTAAGAGTGCCTAGCAAGTCCTCTCGCCCTGCTATCTTTATAGTTCCCATAACACATGCACATCAACAGTCAAAATATATGGCGCCTTGACATTCCTAAAACACAACATCTCTTCAGACTAACAAGGACACTTGTTGTCCTCCCTGGCTCATAATCTTGGTGTCTGAGCCTCCCTGGCTCGTGACCTTGGTGTCTCTCACTGCTGTCACAGTAGGGGTTAAATGAGCACCACACATCTTTAGGTTAGAAGTTCAGTTTCATCAAAACAAGTAACCTTATACAACACATTATAGATTAAAGGTGTTTAAATACCAGAATTTTCCATCGCAGAGCTGAGAGTTACCATCCAATGAGCAGTAAGAAAGGGAACTGGGTGAAAGAGTGGAAGTAGGCCGAGTGGATAGGTAGAGCTGGGTGTCATCAGCGTAGCAGTGGAATTGAATGCCAAATTTTCTGACGATATGGCCAAGAGGTAGAAGGTAGATAATAAATGAAAGGGGACCTAAGACAGGGCCCTGAGGAACACCACTAGTAACTGGCAGAGTTGGATCTGACATTTCTGAGTTGAACAAAGTGAGTGCAGCCAGAGGGATTAGATTTAAACCAGGCAACAAGTTCCTGCAAATATTTCACAAGAAAAGCCTTTTTAGAAAATGAAGGAATTCTCTCAACCGAAATTATAAGAGGCTTTTAATTTCAAATGGATACAGGAAGTGTTGAGTTTAAAATGATGGCGGGATGCATTAAAAAGGGATATTGGTGTTTTTGCGTTGGCTACTGTAGTACTCCTTCACTCTTGGCCCACAGGAGAAGTTTCAGTCATTGCAATCTGCAGTCTCACAGCTAGATGGCACTAAAACCTACAAATTAGACCTTTAACATCGGCTGAATTTTATGAAACTGAACTCCAAACTGTGAAAATGTTTCCACGTTGATCTCAGATTAAAATGAAAAACCTTTACCTGCACTTGTGTTTAAAATAGAAACACCGTGAGAGGAGCAGTGATACAACTGTTTGAAACTCACGTCAAAATCTTTCACCCCTCTGATGACTGATGATGTCATTTCCTTTCAGTGACAAAGGACGGCGAGCTGTGAAGAGGACCGTCACAGGAAACAGCTGAAGAGGATTTTTTCAACTCTCAGTGAAATGATCAGATTTTTCCTCTTCGTTTCTTTTCATGTATTTCTTAACAAAAAACACCTTTAGTTTTGACTTCAGTCTGAATTTTGTTTAGTTGAGTTCAATGATTTAGTTTCTGTTTTAAAAAAAAAGCACTTAGATTTAAATCTCTTTATTTTTTCTTTCTTGATCCAAAGTTTTAGTTTAACTTTTCTTATTTCAACATTTTATACTCATATATTTTATCATGTATTATCTTTTCTCCTCTGAACAAAGATACACTGTAATCAATAATGCTTTTATTTTGGAAAGACTTGAATCTGATCACAGCCATAGTTAAACCATTGGTGACCATGGCAACAGTGCTACTGACCCAGGTCACCATGGCAACATGATACTGATACAGATGGTGCTTTTATCATTTATTATTTCTTGTGCAAATATCTGAAAAAACTCAGTTTAATGAAGCAGATTTTCTTCTGAGCAGATTTTCTTCTGAGTTCTCAGATTACTCTCGCAGTGACGACTGACAGAAAACTAAAACTGTATTGATCATCAGTTCAGGTCTGTGTATTAAACTTTAAAGTTTTATATGTGTTTGATGAACTTTTTTATCTCTCCGAGCTTCGGTTTGTTGGTGGAAACTGAAATTACTTTTTCAGTGTTTCCTCTCAAATAAAACTAATAAAAATGGTAGTTTTTATTTTGTTGTGTGAAACTGATCAATAATCAACATTTCTGCCGTTTCACTGTTGAATAAACTGACTTCAACGTTTCCACTTTGTTTTCAGATGTTTCTTCAACGTGTACATTTATTAACATTTAGAATAAAATCGTCTTTAAAGAACATTTTTTTGTTATATAATGAATTTCTTTGAGGAAAAAAGGAAAAAACCTTGTGTGTTTTTGACAAATTTCACATTTAATATTTAGACGACCCGCCGTGGTCACCTATAATTATAATTACAACCATTATTGAGTTCTTTTCAGAAAACTCCCTGGGAAACATCAAATATTTGAATAAGTAAAAAGGGTTCTCTTTTTTTTTCTTTTTATTTTTTTATTGTGGACTGAAATACAGATATAGATGCATGGGCACTATTACTAATGTTCAGTAAGATGGAGGAAGATGCCCCCCTTAAGAACAAAGTCAATTTATGGAAAAATAAAACAATATATATTTGGACATCATTTTAACATGAGCAGGATGATGATGCACAAACCAACACACCACTGGGAGAATAAAATTGGCACTGTAGCCAAATTTGTTGTTAAAGTACAAAAATTAAAATCTTGTAAAGGGGCATCCCGCCCCCTCCCCGGGGCAAGACACCCGCGAGCTATAAACGAGCTGTCTAAATAAATAAAATAAAATAAAATCCCAACCCTGACAAATTAATGGATTATCTAGAAGCCAACTGTCATTTTTCCTTCAGGCTGATTGTTTTTATTTCAGAATGTGTTCCTCTATCAAGCCAATAAAACTACAGCACTTTACTTCTACTGTATTTAGATATGAACTTTATTAAATCATGTATTACTATATACTAGATGATCTAACTGAATATTTTGAGGCAGATTTTTCGCCCCCATTCTAAGGGGGTTTCTTGCCCCAATTAAGGCTCTTTTCTTTTTTAAATAATAATAATAATTCAATGACTCTCCCCACAAATCCCCCGTTATCACATATATCAAAGCTTTTTATGTAGAATGTTAATATAAATACATAGATCATCAGTATTTTCCAGTGAGAAAAAATTAGACCAGTTCACCCTAAAACTGTTGCAGCAGAATAAATCTCAAGAATGCAGCAGTTCAGATGAAATGTCACAGTTCACTATAGCGGAGCCGTTCACTACGTGTGTCGAGAGTAGATTTACATATATTTAGTGCCATGTATTGGTTAGGAGAGGAATTAAGAGGGTGGGGACATCTTCCTCCATCTTACCCTGCTGTTGTGCGTTGGTGTGGTTTTAAAGACGGGAAAATAAAACATATCAGCGTTAGGCTGCTTCAGTTTGACTTTCTCTATAGAATCACAGGAAGTAAACAGTGCTACATAGATACTACAGACTATAAACTACAACAGGAATGGGCTGCTGTTAAGAGACAAATGACGGCAACTCGATACAAACTCGGTGGTAAAATGCTCCATAAAGACAGTTTCAACTGTTCTCAACACACCAGCATGAGCTGTGACACAAAAATGTGTTGCTTAGCAACTGTTCTTTACCAGAGGTGGAGGGTGGCCGGGGTGCGACTTTGTTTTTAATTATTTTGACCCTCCCTGAAGCTACAAATATTTCTCCCTGAGCCTCCCTGAGTGACTGATGGAAAATGCACGACCCTTCGTCCAAGAGTTGAATAAGAAATCCTGGAGTTAACAAAAGCCTGCATTTTTCACTCTTGTCGTGCATGCTTATTTTTGGCCAAATTTAAAACGAGATATGTAGAATAAAGTGAGTTTGATTATATCACACTATTTAAGTTTAATTTCTTTTGTTACATTTTTTTCTGATGAAAACATTTGTCACACACGATGTCTCCAGGCACCGTTGGAAATTTGAAAATCCAATGATTATTTCTATAAATTGTCTCATTTTGGCATTTTTTAAAAAAACATGCCTTCTTCAGCCACCATATTTTCTTTAAATATCAGCGGTAAAATAAATACACAAAAACAACTATTTAAATTTAAACATCCCTACCCTAAGCCAAAATATAAAACACAAGTCGACCCCCCCCCACCCCACACACACACACACACACACACACACACACACACACACAGACACACACACACACATAAATAACAAACTGTCCCTTAGCAACGGGTTCAACCCACACTTCCTCACATTCCTTGAACTCTTTCTACGAAGGTGGTTTATAATTAGAATTTATAGGCTCTGACTTTCCCACGACTTCCCTGTCTGACCTTTGACCCCCTCCCACACTTTGAGTCTTTCTTTGTGTCACAGATTACAGGCACCACGATGGTGTTTATTAAGTGTCTCCCTTTTGACTGGGTTTTAGTCGTCACATTGCTGCAAGATCTATACAATCAGCACAGTTTCAAGATTAGAGTCACCAGTTCAGTATCTGACCAAATGTCTCCCCTTCTGTTCCTGAGATATGAAGCTGAATAATGGACAGAAAAGTGTTCTATGCACAACATTATGATGTCACCGTGAAGTTGACCTTTGACCTTTTGGATTCAAAATGTCATCACTTCATTATTCTATCCTGTTTGATATTTGTGTGAAGTTTTGTCATAATTAGCGTAAGAATTTATTTTTATTATGTTTATTTATTTGGATCCCCATTAGTCACAACCAAGGTAGCAACTACTCCTCCTGGGGTCCACACAAGCAAACATTACTTCATAGTTACATTTAAAAACATATTTTGTGGGGTCACAGTGTCCTTGACCTTAGAACACCAATTCTGATCAGTTCATTCTTGAATCCAAGTGGACGTTTGTGCTAAATTTGAAGAAATTTCCCCAAGGATATCTTTGACATAATGCATTCAGAAGATTGAGATGGATGTAAGGTCACAGTGACCTTGACCTTTGACCACAAAAATGAATCAATTCATCATTGAGTCCAAGTGACCACTTGTGTCAGATTTAGAAAACTCCTTTAAGGTGTTCTTGACATATCCTGTTTATGAGAAATGCGGAAAAAAAAACAGATGAGGTCACAGTGACCTTAACCTTTGACGTATGACCACCACATTCTAATCAGTTCATTCTTGACTCAAAGTGGATGTTTGTGCCTAATTTGAAGAAACTCCCTCACGCTGTTCTTGAGATATTTCATTAACAAGACTGAGGCGGACGCATGGTCACAGTGACCTTTGACCACCAAAAATGAATCCATTCATCGTTGAGTCCAGGTGAATGTTTGTGCCAAATTTGAAGACATTCCCTCAAGATGTTCTTGAGACAACACGCCCACGAGAATGAGATGGAAGGAGGGACGGACAACCCAAAAACATAATACCACTGACACTGAGTAGTTTAGTCAAAGTAACGACAACCTGACAAATAAAGTCAAATCATTTGATCACGTGACGTTTGTAAACCAATGAGAACACAGAATCATCATCATAAGAAGAAACTCAGATTTATTCTACTTTTACAAAAACAAATTGGGACGACATGAAACTGTTAAAACTTAATACTTCAACTTCCTGCTGCTGATGTCACATTTAAAGTCCGCAGGGAGGCCTTTCATTGGCTGAGCCGCTCTATGATGTCATCATACGAGGAGCAATACTCATCGACATCAACTCCTGGAAGAGAAGCTTACAGGCGTACGGCATCCGGACCAGAGAGATCTGATGGACAGACAGACAGACAATAATAATATGGTTATTGATTATGTTTACCTGTGTCTTATTGGGACTGGTTATTGATCATGTTTACCTGTGTCTTGTTGCGGCAGCCTCGACACTCATACGTGTGCGTCCGTGTGTTGGCAATGGCCATCAGTCCACAGAGGTTGCACACGTGAACTTGATACGGATCAGATGCCTCGAACAGACGTTCTCTGAGGAACTGAGCCGCTCCGTGAGCGATCTGACAGTCACGCTCCATCTCTCCGAAACGCAGGCCGCCATCACTGAGAGACAGACAGACAGACAGACAGGTGAGACAGAAGGATAGGTCACACACACACACACAGACAGACAGGTAGACAGCCATCTTCCTCACCGTGATCGACCTTCCATTGGCTGCCTGTTGAGGATCTGGACGGGGCCCCGGGCCCTCGAGTGGATCTTGTCATCCACCATATGCTTCAGACGCTGATAATAAGTCGGGCCGATGAAGATTTGTGATGTCAGCTTCCTCCCCGTGAACCCGTTATACAGAACCTGTTCATAGAACAATTAACTGACATCACACTAACGTCACACTAATATCACACACTCCAACATGGACGCAGGGTTCATGTATCTCAGGAAATAAAAAGTGTGTGTGACCTCATTTCCTCTCAGGTGGTATCCATATTCAGACAGCAGGTTTGACACTTTCTGCACGTTGACGGCGTCGTTAAATGGCGTGGCGTCACCGATCTCACCTTTGTTTGCAGAGACCTGAAACAAGGCAGACAACTGTGTTTAAAAATGTGACTAAATCATCAGCTGCACAAAGAACCTGAAGTTTTGACTCTGTTAAACTCAAACTATTCATATTTATATAATTTCTACTTTTATAATTAACATTGTGCTAAAATGACTGATTATTAGGATATCCTGACAATTTCCATTTGCTAATAATTGATTAGCTTGTGATCAGGACTAAATAACATCACAAACATTTGGCAGAAACTTTTATACAAAGCAACTTAAAATGAGTGAAATTCAGTAATTACTTACTATTCTCTCAGCATCACTAAAATTGAGGCAATGCCCTCTATACGTCTTTGGACTCTTAGTTACTGACTACTATCAATATATGATTTTTGATTGCTACCTTGCCCTGCAGACACTCGATAAGATGGCCGACTGTCATTCTGGACGGGATGGCGTGCGGGTTAATGATGATGTCAGGTGTGATTCCTTCGCAGGTGAACGGCATGTCCTATAACACAAAACATCCAAAAGTCATCAGTGTTCAGCAGCAACATTTTCAAACTTTACAGATATAAAGACAGAGAATTAAACTGCAGGTTGATGAAGAATATTCCTTCCATCCTTCCATCCTTCCATCCATCCATCCATCCATCCATCCATCCATCCAGGCTGAGCGAAGTACTCCAGACATCCCTCC